GCAGAAAGCAGAGGGCAGAGGGTAGAAGGGGAGAGGCTAATCCTCTCTCTCTCTCGCTCTCTCGAACAACACCAAAATTTTCAGCACTAACTGAAAGAATGAGAGATGGAGAGGCCGCCGTGGCCTTAAGTAGTCATGGCAGAGGGCAGAAAGCAGAGGGCAGAGGGTAGAAGGGGAGAGGCTAATCCTCTCTCTCTCTCTCTCTCTCTCTCTCTCTCTCTCTCTCTCTCTCTCTCTCTCTCTCTCTCTTAGTCCCTCTCTCGCGTGCCCTCCCTGTCGTTAATGCATCGCCTTGGAACCACACTGCTCTGCACCGGAGTCGTCACACCATCTCCACACTCTCTCCTCTCCCTGCTGCCCCGCTCCGTTGCCATCGCACTCTATCACTTCACACCACTCGCTTCCTCTCCCCATGCTGCCTGGTCTAATCAAACTCTGCCCCCGCCCTCCCCCACTGCTGCGACGGCAGTGAGATACAGCGGGATGTGAACCGCACGTTTCCACTGCACAGCATGTTCCAGGAGGAGAAGGGCGCGGGGCAGAAGGCACTCTTCAACGTCATTAAAGCCTACTCCGTACGCTGCACTGCCCTTCCCCACACCCTCGCCCCTCTCCCTCTCCCTCGTTCTCTTGCTCTCGTTCTCTCCCCCACCCTCGCTCAGACCCAACCCAAGCTTTCTCAACTCATCCTCCGTGAGCCACTTCCTTCAAAGCCCGCTCCTCCCCACCCCTCCTGCATTTCTCGTCTCTCCCTTGATCGTTCGTGCCCTCAATCCATACCTACCTTCCTCCCTTCCCTCCCTCTCCCCGTCGACCTCCTCTCTTCATTGCCTCCCCGCTCACACACCCAACCCAACCCCCCCAAGGTGTTGGACAAGGAGGTGGGGTACTGCCAGGGCATGGGGTTCATAGTGGCGACGCTGCTGCTGCTCATGGGATTTGAGGCGCCTCAAAAGTCAAACTCTACATCCCCTCTCCCCGTCCGCCCCCACTCTCTGTCGCCCCCTTCCCCCTTCCCCCTCCTCGCCCCAGGTGTTGGACAAGGAGGTGGGGTACTGCCAGGGCATGGGGTTCATAGTGGCGACGCTGCTGCTGCTCATGGGCGAGGAGGACGCCTTCTGCTGCCTCGTCTTCCTGCTCTACAAGTGCGGCCTCCGAGGAGTCTTCCTGCCTGACATGCAGCAGGTGCGCCCCTGCCGCGTTGCGCTCATTCCCTCGTTTTCTGCTTCCTTGCTGCCCTTCTGCCCTGTGCCCCTGCCCGTGCACTCGCACTCTGTGCTTTGAGTGTTGCTTCGTGCGGTGAGTACAGCTATACATTGTGCTTGCTGCCATTCGAGACGCAGCTATGTGCCTGCCATGTGCACCCAACTGCACGTATATCTAATCCAGCTCCCCTCCCGACCTCCCCCTCCTGTCCCCCACTCGCCTCCTTCTCCTCTCCTCCCTCCCTCCCTCTCTCTCCCTGCAGTTGCAAGTGCGCATGTACCAGCTATCACAGCTGCTCATAGACGCGCACCCGGAAGTGCACGCATACTTTGAGGAGCTCGATGTCAAGCCTGTGAGTCCCCACGCTCATCTCCGCCCATCCGCCTCCTGCTGCACCTCCGCTCTTCTTCTCCACCTCCCCGGCGTCCTTATGCCTCCACCGTCCCCACTATCCTTGCCACATCATCTTAACTCCCCTCCTCTTCCCTTCCCCTAAACCCCTTCTCTTCTCACCCATCTCATCCATGTGTGTGCATCCCCTCTCTCCCCTCCCCTCTCCCGTTCGTGTGAGCAGGTGATGTATGCAGCGGACTGGTTCCTGTCGCTCTTTGCTCGCACCATGCCGCACTACATTGTCTTCCGTGTCTTTGACATCATCTGTGGTGCGTGCCCGCCACATGCATGCATCTATTCCACAAGGCCGGGGGGAGTAGGTAGCAGTACCGCGGTCTCCAATGCGAGTGGCGCCAAGCTCAGCACTGCACAGTCGCCGTCCCACTGACTTGGCGTTCTCGCTACGTTTCTCTCTAATTCGTGTGCACAATTGAGATGACACCAGTCTCCTGCCATTGCCTCATGCGCTTGTGCTGCCCCTCCCTCCTGTGTGTGTGCGTGTGCCCCGTGTGTGTGCATGCACCAGCGGATAAGACAACGGCCATAGTCTTCAAGCTTGGCATGGTGCTGCTGCAGGTGGGTCTCACCTCTGCTCTGATGTGCCATGCTGTGCTGTGCTGTGTTGTGCTGCCACTTGTGCATCGCTCGCACCCATTGGACATGCCACAATGCTGCTTGCTCTGTCACCACCCTGTGCTTGTCTTTACCCACCTCCACTTCCATTCCACTTTCACAGCACCACCTCAGGGGAAGCTGCACTTTACCTCTTAACATCGCTCACTGCCACCACATTGCACCCTCTTGCCCTAATCTTCCTTTCTCCCCTCCCCACCCCCCTACTCTCCCCTCCCTTCCCCTCCCTCTCCTTTCCGTTTCTCCACCCCACGTTGCCCTAACCCCTTGTCACGACATACGTGTATACATGTGTGGGCATGGCATGGCAGGTGTGTGAGCGGCAGCTGCAGCAGTGTCCGGAGATGGAGTATGCCATGCACTTCCTGCGCGTCGAGCTGCCGCTGCAACTCAAGGCACGCCTTGGGGGGAGGGGGGGATTGGGGGTATGAGGCATTGGGGAAGGGAGATGGCATTTTCAGGGCTTGAGAACAGCTAATAGGAGGGGGGGTGAGAGCAGTGGGAGGGAAGTGGAGTGTGCAGTGGAGACGGCAGACTGCATGGTGGTGGGTGGGATGTTTCACAGGTGACTGAAGTGGGGGGGGGTACGGCTGGGGATGTTTCATGAAGCACTGCAGTGGGTGGGCAGATGGTAGAATGCGGAAGGAGGAATGGAGGAGCACGCACCATGTCACTTTTCTCCTTCCGTTCCCACTACACGCATGGCATGACCAGACATGCCGTTTCAGTTGATCCGTCTCATCATCTCGCTACCGTGCCCCCCTTTCGTTGTGTGCATGCGTGTGTGCATGTGTGTGCACGTTGTGTGCGTGTGTGCGCTGTGTGTGCATGTGCATGTGTGCATGTGCATGTGTGTCCCCATGTCCCTCTACCAGGAGGTATCAGAGGATTATCTGGAGGAGCTAGTGAGCAAGGCCCTGCGCGTGCACCTGCCCTTTGACAGCCTGCTGCGACTCGAAGCTGGTCAGTCAGACCAATGCCGTGTCTTGGGGGATGGGAGTGTGTGAGGGGCAATGGTGTGGGAGGCGATGCGGTAGTGCGTTTGGTGAGGTGTGTGCGAGAACGAAGAGAGCACAGGCAGAAGCACCGCTGCTCTACATACCACCCTTCATCTCCCACCCGACTCTACTCTTGTTGTCCCCGTTAATGCCATGCTGTAACGTCCACACATGGCCCCATTCGCCGCTCCCTCCCCCCTTTTTCCCCCCTGTGAATGCAGAGTACGAGTTGCTGGCGGGGGAGGCGGCGGCAGCAGCGCGGCATGTGAGGGCGGCAGCAGCAGCGAGTGAAGCAGCAGCGCGGTCACTGGAGTGCACGCGCAGGGACCTGGAGGTTCGCCTGCACCACGCCCTCAGGGTGAGCCGTGCGCTGCTCCCCGCACTAACCCCGCCCTGCCCCGTCCACCACTCCCCCTCATTCCCCCTCCCGCCTTGGCCTTTGTACTCTCTTTCTGCCTTTGGTCATGCTTGTCTCATGTTTCTTCTTGCTGTTTGTGTGTGTCGCACGTCATTGCCATGCTTCCTCGCATGGCGTCAGGCGCGCAAGCAATCACATGAGCTGGCTGCAATTTTCAAGGCAGCTATAGCAGGCCTGCAGCAGGGGGGCGACGAGAGTGGCACATCGGAGCAGAGCACACAGCACAGCGGGAAAAGGCAGGAGCAGGAGCTGGAGCACACGGCTTTGAATGGCCATGAGCCTGAGACAGCCTCTGAGAATGTGACAGCAAATGCCGCGAGTTCTGCTGCTGCTGATGATGCTGCAGCTTCGGTTGCCCCTGGTGGTGGTGGCACAGCAGAGACAGCAGCACTGGCCGTGGACCAAGCAGGGCCGAACAGCGAGACAAGAGGTGGCGGCACGCGTGGGCGAAGTGTTGTGAGGGTGAGCAGCAGGAGCAGCAACGAGGGAGCATTGGATCTAGCAGTGCGGTACTTTGAGTGGAAGGAGTGGAGCGAGGTGGCCGGTAACACAGCAACTGTGGCGGTGCTGCGGCAGGTGGAGGAGGCGAGGCACGCGTGCCATGAGACACTCACAGCGCTGGCAGCAGCTGAAGTGGCCCTGGCAGAGAGGGCGGAGCAGGTGGCGCAGGAGGGAGAGGGGGAGCGAGTGATGCAGGAGATGGTGGTGGTGTTGGAGGAGGGTGATGAGGGGGGCCATGGTGACGAGTTCTACTGAGCAATGGAGCAGAGGGAGGGGTGTGCGGGTGTGGTGGAGTGGAGTGGAGCAAGTCTGTTGTGTATGGCAGTGACTGAAGAGTTAGCACTTATTTGAGAGGCACATGGCTTGGGAGGTGCATTGTGCGTGGAGGGGTTGAATGAGGTGGAAAAAGGTGCAGAGGCATATCGAAAGAGGGAAACTTGGCTTGAAACGCCTCCCCTAAAGCAATCTTACGGTGTCTGCTAGTAAAGCTCGAGTATACTGTACCACTGAACTAGTCAGTGGTAGTGATAAATTTGTGTAGTAGCCCTAAATGTAGGTTTGCTCAGCTCGTGTCAGCCTAGCCCCTTGTGACAGCCGTTGCAAGTGTGAGGAAACCCAGCATCTGCATGTGCATCTCTGACAACAGGGGGTGAGTTGGCCTAGTAAATGACGCTGCATGTATTGTTACCCTGCAGTGGGTTTTAGAAGGCAATGTGCTTTGCAAGCTTGGGAACATTCATTATGAAGTGTGGTATTGATTCCACCCATATTGCAGGGGCAACACATGCCACCCACCACAAGGTGTGAGAGCACATGTCTAAGCGTGCTCCATGCCGTTGCTTGCTTGCCACCTACTCAACTGTGCTCTTCCCCCCACTTATCTCAGCCCGCTCAGCAGTGGATGGTGCTGTGCCCTGAGCAGCACCCTGAGCAGCACCCTGAGCAGCACCCTGAGCAACGCCCTGAGCAGCACCCTGAGCAGCACCCTGAGCAGCACGAGCATCACCCCGTGCCCTAAGCGGCCCATACTTGGGTAGAACCACCTGACCACTGGCCTCACGCTGGGCCCTGCACGCACCACAGTGCCACTCCTCCACCACACTCTCCCCCACCGCTGCTTGCCACCCCCCCCTCCCTCGCCCCCGCCCCCGCCCCCGCCCCCTGCCCCGGCTCCTGCCTCTGCCCCTCCCGGTGACAGCAGCGGGGGAGGTGGCGAGGCAGCGGGTGTGAATGGGGCGGTCGCAGGTGTCGCAGATGAGAGCAGTGCGCGAGGAGACAGGGCGCGTGCACACGGCGCAGGGCAGCACTGGCAGCTCCAGCATGCATGGCAGCAGCAGCACTGGGTGAGTGGGATGGGCTGCGGACAGCGTTGCGTGGCCTTGCTTGATTGACTGGTGGGGGATAAGGAGGGGGGGGGGGGTTGGAGGGATGGCGAGAAAGAAGGGTCAGCATGAGGGAATGAGATATCGTGCATTGATGAAGGATGCACGTGCATGGTATATTGTAAGAAGATGCAAATGCTTAACGACACGTACGGCACAGGAAACGGCAACCATGCCACACAGGGTGAGCAGCAGGGGCGAGCGAGCAGCGCACACACACGTAGCAGCATCACCTGATCACTAGCCTCTGAGCCATCCCCGCCATGTGGTGGCGCCTCAATGCCATACGCCATGTGCATGGCCGCCACAGCTGCTGCCATGCGCTGCTGTTCATCCCGGAGCAACACCATGGTGCCATGCCCCGCTGCCACCTCCGCCATCACACGCCCTGCCTCCTCCTCGCCCCACCGCTCTGACCCCGCCACCACTGCCCCCTCCATTCCCCACCGCCCCCCCCATGCTGCCCTGCCCTGTGCCGGGGGGGCAGCGGGTACGGGTGCAGTGACGGTGATGGATGGCAGTGGCGGAGGGTGATTTTCGGTGCTGGGCTGCTGCTGCTGCTGCTGCTGCTGCTGTGGTTGAAGGGAAGACAGAGGTGCTGCCAGGGAGGGGAGGAGGAAAAGAATTCAACAAGGGGAAGAGTAAGAGGGGTGGGTGGGAATTCACAGACAGGGGATTGAAGCAAGGAAGACATGGTGCGGAGTGCGTGCATAAGCGTGCCCACAACACACAGGCACCCACCATGCAGGGAAGCCTGGGGTTGCTGCGGGACATGCACCTCCATGTGCGTGGTGTCATGGCCAGCACTCTCAGTGTCCATGGCAGCACCCGTGTCCGGTGCAGCAGCAGCCCCATGCCCGCCTTGCTGTGCTGCCTCGTGCCTCCCCTCCGCCCCTTCCTGACCCAAACCCCCATCACCAGCACCAGCACCACCGGCACCATCACCATCAGCACTACCAACAGCATCAGCGACACGAGCGCCATCAGCACCACAAGCAGCAGCAGCACCTGAACCAGCACCAGAACCAGCAGCATCAGAGTCGCCTAACAGCTCACCACGGTTCCCTGCCCTTGCTTTCCGTGCTTCTTCACCTGCCATTGCCCCAGCCTGCATACCCCCTTCCCCAATCCCGTTTGGCCCCTCTTCCTCTCCCTTCCCTCCCTTGCCACTATCCCTCTCTCCACCATTTCCCTCACCGTTCGCTCCTCCCGTTTCCACCTCTCCTTTACCTCCATTTTCTTCCCCCTCTCCTCCCAATCCTCCCTCTCCTCTCCCTCCTCCCTCTCCTCTCTTCCCCCTCTCCCTTGTCTCTCCTCCCTCTCCTCCCTCTCCTTGCTCTCCTTGCTCTCCTTGCTCTCTCCTCTCTCCGCTCTCTCCTCTATCTACTCTCTCTCCTCTCTCTCCCCTCTCTCCTTTCTCTCCAATCACTCCTCCCTCTCCTCGCCTGCGCCTCACCACAGCCCGCATGGCCCGGGCCAAGTGCTGCACTCTCGCGGCGCCCCCAGCAGCATCCCACGGCGAAGCACGCCCCACCACCCGCGCCAGCTCAGCGCCCACCGCTGCTGCCACTGCACCCACATGCAGCGCTGGCGCTGCTTCTGCGGGCTGCACTGGCTGCTTGTGCGTTGGTGCTGTCAGGGGGGTGAGGAGCAGAGGTGGTGCGAGAGGTGAAGGAGGCGAGGGTGGTGTGGGTGGCGTGGGTGGTGCATCCAAGGAGTGCACATGCAGGCATGGGAGGGATGTGATAGGAACGCGCATGTGCATGGCGGCATGCAGGCATGCAATCATCTCAGACACGCTCCCCAGCACGCCCCATGCTGCCCTTTCACTCTCCTCTGCGTGATCGCTCCTTCCCTCACCCCTTTCCGCCCTCTCCTCTGCAAACCGCACCAACCGCCCACCAGATACCCCTCCCCTCCTCCCTCTTCCTCCTTCTCCCGCGCCTGGACCAGCAGCACCACTGCCACCAATAGCCGCCACGCGCGCAACTTCTCTCCGCGCCACCTTTCCTCCATGAAAGCCCACCGTTTTCACTAATCGCCCTCCCTCCGCCTCCCCCTCCGCGTCCCTCGTTCTTCGGGCGCCCTCTGCGCCCCCCTCCGCCATCTTACCCGCACTGCCTTCAGCTCTACCTGCACCCGCTCCGCTCGCCCCCGCCGCGTCTCTTCCGCTTTCCCCCTGGGCTTCCGACAGCTGTGTGCTCGCTGCACCTCTCCGCGCCTTCTTCCACGCACTCCCCAGTATTCCGCCATTCGCCTCCGCGTTCACTCTCCCGTTCCGCCGCTTGCCGCCGTCCCCATCGCCCGCCATATGCGCCTTTTCCTGCCGGCGCGCGCTGCTACCTGGCGAGTCCAGAACACTCTCGGACTTCTCTCCCGCCTTCAACCCCAGCCGCTCCGCCTCTCGTTTCCGCACACCCCGCGAGAAGTGCCGCTCCTCCAGTGCCCCCCGCTCCTCCCGCTCCTCCCGCCCGTCGATCGTCGCGCGCGCATCTGCTCCGCGCATGGCGGATCAGCCACCAGCCGCTGCAACGTGTAACGACAGCAAAACTGTGTGCGACGCAACAATTGCTGTCACAAAAGGGATTGCGGAAAACAATATTATACTCGCCAGCAGTCGCGCCTCACCTACTGCCTACCGACAGCCCTCGAAAATACGAGTAGATAACGCGCGACACGTGGTGCTGATGGCGTGGGAGGGGGAGTAAGAGAGCGACAGAGGCGAACGCGCGAGGCAGCGACGAGAGGGTTCGATAAGGGAGGCAGGCAGGAGAGGTGGTGGAGATTTCTCAACTTGAGAATTTGAAATGTCGCGCACCGGGATGAGTGCCCAAGGTGACAAGGGGAACGGGATTGCAGCGATGAATTCGAGGGCAGAAGGGAAGGGTGGGTGTCAACGTGACGGTCAGTCAGACCATAGCATCACTCTTGCTAGGAAATCTGTAAAGACGCGGGAAAAAGAACAGTCATTGTAGACAAGTGTAAGGAAAATTCCTTTTCCTTACTTCGCATCCCTGCTGAACGCGTACATCACTGTAGCACCACAGTCAGCACCGTTACCACTCGCAACCCTCGCATCGACAATCCGCCCGCCACCTTCGCACATCGCACCCCGACCTCACGGCTCGGCGGGTAACCCGCGCTCCGGGCCTCCGCTTCGACACTTTTTCCCAACCTCAGTCCCAGGCCCGTCGCGCGACAACCACAGTCCATTACCGTTACCACTGTAGTTTCGCTATATATTCTTCGCTCATGCCTTCGCTCATTGTACTCTTGCTTCGATAGTGCAATTCTCGTTCGTTCACTCAATTGCACTCGTAACACTTGGTATTCAGAGCCTACGATCTCCTCTCGGACCGCACCCACACCTTCGTTTCCCCACTATCTCAATTTTTGGGGGGGGTAGACGTCTCTCAGCGACACAGCACCGCCGCTCGTAGTGCTCTCTCGTAAGCACGCACGGCCACGACCGAGGCTCTCGCTGAGCTCGCCCGACACCCCCGCCATGGCCGAATTCACGCTCGCCACATTGACGCAGGAGCAGCTCGACCGTCTGGTGCGCCAACTTGAAGATTCGGCGCTCGAAATTGCGACGCTCACGGCGGAACGTGACTCCGCGCGTCAGCAATCAACGATGAACACTCCAGCGCCACCACATGCACCGACAAATGCATCTGCACAATCAGACGAGCCGATCGTCATCTCGTCCGGCACACCAACACAAAACAACAGCGTGGGACAGCGCTCAGGCGCAGCCAGCGATGGCGCCGCCTAGCCGATGCCTGGCATGGGAGGAAACAGGGTCGCACCAAGCCCGCGGGAGCCTCGCGAAGCCCGTCGACACGTGGAGTTCGCGGCGACAAGTGGCGAACAGACCATTATGGCACCAATGCCACTCAAGCCGCAACGCCCGCCCTGCTTCGACCCGAGCCAGCGTGGAGGTCCGACGGTTCAATCGTGGGTCTTCACGATGAACGTCTTCTTCGACGCGAATTACGTCGAGTCGGACGCAGCGAAGATTCGGTATGCCGTTTCGCTGCTAAGGGGCCCCGCCATGGACTGGTGGCGAGTCATCGTGACGTCGCCACGCGCCTACGAGCCACCGTCGCAAGAGGAAGGGCCCACGGGCCCAGCTATCACCTGGAGTTCATTCTGCGAGACCGCCCAATACAGCACGTGGGATGCGTGGTGCGCAGGGCTTCGGGCGCGCTTCGAGCCAATCGCGGCTTCTATTTCGGCGCGTCAGATATTGCGCACTTGGCGGCAGCTTGGATCGGTTCAAGACTATACGAGTGGTTTTCTCGCATTATGCGAGCAAGTCGGCTACATGCACGAAGCGGAGCGGGTGGACCGTTACGTCGGAGGGCTGAAGCCGGACATCTCGCACGAAATCATGCTACGCGGGCTCTCGAACTTCAACGAGATTCTCGCGCTCGCCGAGAAAATCGACATTTTACGCCGTCCGAGACCGGGGTCCTACTATGGACATCGTCCTCGGGGACCGATCGAGCACGCCACTGTACACGCTGTTGCGACGAATGCAGCTGCCGCACCGTTTAAGGGGTGCTGCTTTGCTTGCAACAGGCCGGGCCATCGCAAGAGCGAATGCCCAGAGGAGCTAAGGCGCCGCGGAGCAGAGCAGGGGAGGGAGTCTCTAAAGCAGGGAAACGCCAGCAGTCAGTAGGAATCGGGCCAACTACTGACGAGACTGCCTGCTCGCCCAACCCCACCGACCCTCACCGAGTCACAGTACCGATTCATGCTATCGATCGGACTCGGACGAATAAGGAGGGTACACCGACGGATTGCTCACTACTGATCCACGGGAAAATACAGGGAGCAGCAGTGAAGATTTTTATCGACGGAGGAGCAAGCCACAGTTTAGTTAATACCGCAACCGCACGAAAACTGCAACTGACACTTAGCCGTTGTTTACCGGAGATAGACGCACGCTTAGTCGACGGCACGCCACTGGCCATACGGGAAAAGGTAGAAAGAGTCAAAGTCCGCTGCGGGGGAACTTTCGGGTTTACACAGGAAATGCTCGCAACGACACTGGATGGGCACGATATTTTACTGGGACGTGATTGGCTGCGACGGTATAACCCGCGAATTGACTGGACGACGGGTAGCTGCACCGTGCGAAGTAGTGGTAACTGGGTCGAGCTACCTCGCTGGCAGTCGCCCGAGTCTTCAACGGTACACGTCAACGCCATCACAATGAAACGGGCTGTCGCTGCTGGAGCTGACGTGTACGCAGTAGACATCGCAGTAATAGAGGAAGCGGAGCACCCGAGTGATTTCAAGAAACTGCTGGCAGCCGTACCGCCTGAATTACAGGAACTGTTGAAACGATACCCCGGGATTTTCCCCGACGACTTACCGGAAGGACTGCCACCTCAGCGAGCACATGACCACCGAATCGAATTAGAACCGGGGGCACAGCCAACCGTACAGCGCCAGTTCAGACTGACACATCCCAAGCTCGACGAACTAAGGAAGCAGCTAGATTACCTGTTAGAGAAAAAATTCATCAGACCGAGCTCGTCACCGTTCGCCGCACCGATACTATTCACGCCGAAAAAAGACGGAGGTTTTCGCATGTGTATCGACTACAGAGCACTGAACAGGGTAACAGTCAAGTCGCGGTACCCCATTCCCCGCGCCGACGAACTGATCGACCAACTGCGAACAGCACGGGTTTTTTCGAAAATAGATTTACGGGGAGGTTACCATCAGATTAGGGTCGAACCATCGGACTGCGCCAAAACAGCTTTCAGGACTAGGTACGGGTCGTTCGAGTACACTGTGATGCCATTCGGGCTGACCAACGCACCGGCGACTTTTCAGATGACCATGAACGAGGCATTTAGGCCGCTCTTAGATAAATGTGTAATAGTTTACCTCGACGACATTCTAGTGTACAGTCGGGATAAGCAGCAGCACTTAGCAGATCTGGAAGCAGTGTTTAAGGTTTTAGACGAGCACAGATTACTGACCAAGGGTTCCAAGTGCGAGTTCTTCCAGGATAGGTTAGAATTTTTGGGGCACGTTATTTCGGAGGCTGGAGTTGAAATCGACCCAAAGAAGCTGGATACGGTAAAAGCGTGGCATCCCCCGACGAACATCACGGAGCTGCAGAGCTTTTTAGGGTTCGTTAATTATGTGCGTCGGTTCCTCCCCGATATGGCACGGTTAACTGCCCCACTGACGGAGTTACTACGGAAGGGGGTCGCTTTTACGTGGGGGGAGAAAGAGCAGCTGCCTTCTCTGCCCTGAAAAATGTTCTCTGTTCACCGCCCGTCTTGCGCATCGCCGACCCACACCGCCCCACTGCCCAGATCCACGCAATACTACTCGCCCAGACAAGCCCGCTACTGACAGGCCTATTCACCCACGGGTACCAAACGGATCCATTCTTCACAGGAGGAAATTCGCAGCAGTTCGCAGCAGCAAAGGGAGTCTATTACGTAAAAACCGGGACTGACCGCATTTGGGTGCCTGGGTATACAATGCTACGGGAATTACTGTTACAGGAGGTACATGACGGAGTTACCTCGGGGCATTTCGGAGTAGAAAAAACACGGCAGCAGCTGCAGCGGTATTATTACTGGCCCGAAATGTTGACCGACGTACAACGACACGTGGCATCGTGTCCCACTTGTCAGCTCATGAAATCATCACGACAGCGGCCGGCGGGACAGTTGCAGCCGATACCACCCCCAGAGCGTGCTTCGCAGCAGGTGACGATGGACTTCGTCACGGGGTTACCAGCCGGGGCGAGTGGGAACGACGCGATCCTGGTCGTCGTCGATCGACTGACGAAAATGGCACATTTCGCAGCCTGCAAAAAATCAATCACAGCCGAAGAAACAGCACGCCTCTTCATCTCCACCGTCGTTCGACTGCACGGGATACCAGCCGTGATCATCAGCGACCGCGACACGAAATTCACCAGCAACTTCTGGCGGAACCTGTGGCAGCAGTTCGGCAAGCGACTACAGTTCAGTTCATCATACCACCCCGAAACCGACGGACAGACAGAACGGACAAATCAGACCATGGAACAGCTCATCAGGGCCACGTGTGACGACCCGACCACGTGGGAACAGCAACTGCCACTAATCGAATTCGCGTACAACAACTCGCCATCCGCCACGACCCAACAGTCACCATTTTACCTAAACTACGGACAAGACCCGACAGTACCCATGACCTCGAATCCCGACAACCCAGTACCACGAGCACAACAGTTCGCCGAAATATTACAAGCAGCACGGACCCGGGCAGTAGACGCAATAAAAAAATCGAACATCATCGCTAAACGCAACGCCGACCGCCACCGCAGACCTGTCACTTACCAGCCCGACGACTTAGTTTTACTTGACACTCAGAACCTCCGACTGCCCATCACCCCGAAACTCCGCCCCTGATACTGCGGGCCATTTCGCATAAGCCACATGCTTACACCCGTCACCGCCCACCTCCTCCTCCCTGCTGATTGGT